TCTAAACATAGACCTTTTGGAAGGCGGGGAGTCTGTGAATGCAAGTGTAAGAATACCTGCTCTATGCTGACATTTCAGAGGGGAGAGAGTTTAATCTCCTGATTTGCAAAGTAACCTAACCTTAACTGTTTTGTCAATATCCCTGTATTCTTTTCCCTTGTAAGGAATTACAGCTGCTTGTAACTGGTCCTTACCCTGCATCCTGTTTGCGGAGGATTTATTGTATCTTTTGTGGTAGAAAGAGGAGTATTAAGAGTGAACTCTTTATTAGGTTGGAACGCTCTACGAAGTTGTTTCACTATACCACTGTATGCATAAATCTTTTGATGAAACCTGTGACTTCATTTAAGGAGCCCTGGCGGTGTAGTGATTAAAGTGCTCGGCTGCCAACCTAAAGGTCAGCATTTCGAACCCACCAGCCGCTCTGGGGGAGAAAGCTGTGGCAGTCTACTTCCGTAAAGATTTATAGCCTTGGAAACCCTATGGGACAGTTCTGCTCTGTCCTATAGGGTTGCTATGAGTCGGAATCAACTTGATGGCAACAGGTTTTTTTTTTTTAATGTTCTACACTGGTGATGCAGTGGTTAATGCACCCGGCTGCCAACTGAAATGTCAGTGGTTAGAACCAACCAGCCACTGCACAGGAGAAAGATGTGGCGATCTGGTCCCATAATGATTACATACTAGGAAGCCCTACGGGGGAGTTCTACCCTGTCCTATAGGGTCGCTATGAGTCGGAATTGACGCGATGGCAATGGGTTTGGTTTTGGTTTTATGTTCTAAACACTTTCTTCATTTCTTGATAGTCTTACGAGGCTTGATGAGAGTAAGTTCCTGAGGGTAGTTAAGTGCTGGAGCTGACGATTAAATTCGGGCCCAGTCTGGCTCCAATCCATTATACCTGCTGCCTGCCTGCTTATTTGCTTCTAGTTTCTAGTATGCTCAGTATAGCTTTGCTAGATTAATCTTGCTAAAGTTATGGTTCAAGATCGTGAAGGCCCATTCTTATAAGCTCTATGACATAGATTTGACACATCTGGCCTAAAACTTGTCCTTTAAGCTACATCTCCTGCTACTCTTAACATGATCCTGTGCTCTAACAATCTCATACTACTCACCAAACCCAAAATACAATATTTCTCATGTCTTCCGTACTCTTTTCCCATGTTCTTTTTCTGTATCTAAAATGCTTTTCCTTAAGCCTGGTGAACATCCTTTAAGAACCAGCTTAAACGGCTCTTTTATATAGTCTTCCCCCGGTACATAGTGTTTCCATTTTGATACATTGCATTTAAAGTTCATTTCTCTATCAGTCTACGAGTATCACAATTATAATTATCTATAGTTCTATCTTCTGTTAGACCGAATTCCTTGTGGGTGAAAGCCATGTCAAATTAATCTGTGTATCTCCAGTTCCAGGTATAGTGCCCTCTACATAATGAATGACATGTTGGCTATCTTGAATGTATTTTCTTTGTTTCTAAAATTTTATAAGTCTTAGGTGTTTAACAAGATTATGAGCTCCTGTAAGGTAGAATGCCACCTTAACCACAGAAATTTGCCACATGGCCTGGTACAGTGATGCATGGACATGTTATAGGTATAATTAATTTACTTGTTTAAGAAGAACTTTTAAACCTCCTCAAACCTAAGTTGACTTGCGTTTTTCATAATGTTTAACAGTTTTGCTCAGTGTTATGACTTACTCCATTTTAAGGTTATTTATACAAGTAAAAATCTGTTAACATAGACGGAGTCTTATCTCTACTCCCAAGGATGACAATCAGCAAAACCAGATGAATGTTATTTTACAGATTAATTTTTTTTCATCTTTTATATCCTTTGATTTTTTTACAGTGCTCTATTGAGGTAAAATTTACATATAATAAAATTCACTCGTTTTAAATGCAGTTTGATGAATTTTGGCTAATACGTAAATATAGTCCTGTGACCACCATTACACTCAAACATTTGAACATTTCCATCAGCCCAAAGTTACTTCATGTTCATTTGCAGTCAGTACCTTCCTGTTAGCCCTCAGCCACAGACAATGACTGATCTACTTTCTGTCATTATATAGGTTTGCGATTTCTAGCATTTTGCATACATGGAATCATGCAGAATTTATCCATTCACTAGTTAATGGACATTAATCCATTTACCAGTTGATAGACATTTGGATTATTTCCAGTGTTTTGGTATTTTGAGTAATGCTGCTATGAACATTTTCATACAAGTCTTTTTGTGGACATATGTTTTCATTTTTTTTGGGTAGATACCTAGGAGTGGAATTGCTGGCTTGTATGGTAAGTGTATATTTTTAAGAAACAGCCAAACTGTTTTCCCAATGGCTGTACCATTTTGCGTTTCCACTGGCAGTGTATGAGCATTCCAGTTGCTCCATATCTCACTAGCCCTTGGTATTGTCAGTCTTTTTAATTTTAGTCATTCTGGTGAGTGTGTAGTGTTATCTCATTGTGGTTGTAATTTTACTTTTCATGATGACTAGTGATGCTGAGCATTTTTTCATGTGCTTATAGACCATTTGTATATATTCCTTTGTGAAGTGTCTGTTCAGATCTTTTACCTATTTTTTTTTTTTTAATTGGGTTATTTGTCTTCTTGGGTTGGTTGCATTTGGTTGTAAATGTTCTTTATATATTCCAGATATCTCTACTGGATAAAACTCCTTTGTCAGATATATTTTCTCCCAATCTATGGTTTACCTCTTTGTTTTAAAAAAATATTATCTTTAGAAGAGCAAAAGCTTTTAATTTTGAAGTAGTAGAGTTTAACAGTATTTTTCTGAATTGTTCATGCTATTTGTGTCCCATCTTAAGAAATTTTTGCTTAACTGAAGGAAAGGTTTTCTCCTATTTTTTTTTCCCAGAAGATTTATATTTTTAGTTCTTAACGATTAGATCTTTGATCTGTTTAATTTTTGTGTGTAGTATGTAGTTGAAGTTTTGGCATACAGATAGTTTTTTTGGCACACTTCATTGAGAAGACCATTGTTTTCCTCCACTGAACTACCTTTTCACCTTTGTTGAAAATCAACTGACTGTAGTGTGGGTCTATTTTTGGACTCTTTCTTATATTTTATGGATATATGTTAGGGATCAGCAAGCCAGATTCGACTCATAACCTGTTTTTGTAAAAAAAAGTGTTATTGGAACACAGCCATGTCCATTCATTTATGTATTATCAAGGGCTGCTACAGCACAGGCAGATTTGAATAGTTGCTATAGAGACTCTGTGGGCTGCAAAGGTAAAAATATTTATCTGGCCCTTTACAGAAAAATGTTTGTCAACCCCTGATCTATATGTTTATCCTTTTGCCAATAATATGCAGTCTTGATTACCATAGTTTTATAATAATCTTGAAATCAGATAGTGTAAGTCCTCCAGCTTTGTTCTACTTTTGTAAAATAGGTCATTTTAGGTCCTTTGTATTTCAATATACATTTTAGAATCAGCTTGTCAATTTATACAAAAGCCTGTTGGGATTTTGATTGAAATTGCATTGAATCTATAGATTAATTTGGAGAAAATATTATAAAAATATCATCTTCCAGTCCATGAACATGGTATGTCTGTTTGTTTAGGCTTTCTTTAACTTTTCTCAGCAATATTTTGTTCTTTTTAGTATACAGGTCTTGCAAATCTTATGTTAAGTTTATTCCTAACTATTTTATTTATTGATGCTACTATAAATGGAGGAGCCCTGGTGGCGCAGTGGTTAAGAGCTCAGGCTGTTAACCAAAAGTTCGGCAGTTCAAATCCACCAGCCGCTCCCTGGAAACTCTATGGGGCAGTTCTACTCTGTCCTGTAGGGTTGCTATGAGTTGGTATTGACTTGACGGCAACTAACAACTCCAACTATAAATGGAAGTTTTTAAAATTTCATTTTCCAGTTGTTTGTGGCTTATAGAAACACAGTTGATTTTGTATACTGACCTTGTGTCCTATGACCTTCCTAAATTCACATCTTTCTCCTAGCTTTTGTAGATTCCTCAGGATTTTTTACATACGTGATTATATCATCTGTGAATAAAGACAGTTTTACTTCTTTCTTCCCAAGCTTAATCTTAATTAATCTTGCCTTAATCCACTGGGTAGAATCTTTAGTACAGTGTTGAATAGAAGTGGTGAAAATAGACATCCTTGCCTTACTATTGATTTTAGAGAGAATCGTTTTAGTCTTCCTTCATTAAGGTCAGCTGTAGGTTTTGTAGATATCCCTTATCAGGTTGAGGAATTTCCTTTTTACTCCTAATTTGCTGAGATTTTTTAAAAAAATTACAACCGAATGTTGAATTTTTAAAGTGTTTCTTTGGAATTTGTTGAGATAATCATGTTTTTTCTCCTATTAACATGACAGATTGCGCTGATTTTTGGGTATTAAAATAATTTACATTCTTGTGATAAAACCCACTTGGTTATGATGTATTAATTCTTTTATAATATTGTTGGATTTAGTTTGCTAATACGTTAAAGATTTTTGAATCAGTAGTCATTAGGGATATTGGTCTGTAGTTTTCTTGTGATGTCTTTGTTTGGTTTTGGAAACTGGCCTCATTAACTGGGAAGTGTTTTTTTCTCTTATTTTCTGAAAATGTTCATGCAAAATTAGTTTTTGGTTTATTTTAATTTCTTAAATGTTTGATAGATTTACCATTGAAGCAATCTTTTTTTAAAAAATTTCATTAATAGTCAAGTTGTAAGAGGTTCATAGTTTTCCCTTAAAGTAGCTCAATGAAAAGGGTGCTTTTTTGGCCTAAGTAAATTTGAAAATACATTGGGCTTTATCCTGCTTTCTGATTTTGTTATACATGGAAGGAGCATTTATAAGAAGTTGAGAGCCAGCCTTTCCAACTGAATACTTGAAACATGCTAGGGAAATAATTTTATCATTATATTTTGGCTAAATGGTTAATGTTGTCTTTCTTATAAAGTATTTTATTGCTCTGCTTATTCACCTTTGTTTTTGCTACTTGCAGGAAATTAAAAGGAGTCTAGAAAATCAAGCAGAAAGAAAAATGGAAGGTCAGAATTCCCCGAGTCCACAGCAGGTCTCACAATATCTCAACACATGCTCAGAGCAAAATGGTCATGTTCCTGCAGTGCCAAATAAACAACCAGTTCTGCAGTATGGTAATCCTTATGCAGCACAAGAAATAAGAGGTTATTAAAATATTTTTGGTTTTAGGTTAGCTGAACCTGGAGATTTTTTTACTTGTGTTTTTCTTTCTTTCTTTCTTTATTATTATTTTTTTTTAAATTGTACTTTAGGTGAAGGTTTACAGAACAAATAGTTTCTCATTAAACAGTCAGTACACATATTGTTTTATGACATTGGTTAACTGAACCTGGAGATTTTTTTGCTTATATTTCAGTGGTATCAGAGAACTGTTGTACAGTCAACTCTAATGGAAACATTATTTTACTTTATAACATGCAGTTTTAATGTTTAACACTGTAACTGGACTCATCAAGAAGTGATGTACCATTAATCGATAGTCTTTTTTGCTTACTGCATTCTCATTTTTAAATATCACTTGGGTTAAAAATAAAAACATTTGTTTTTTTTAAATGTTCCAAAATGGTTCTTTATATCCTGTTAATCATATTATTTCCACATAGAGATGTTAATTTGAGTGCCAGATTTCACCCTACCCTTCCAAAATTTTTATTGCAGATGGAGAAGATGTTGCTTTTTATCCAGATGAAATTCAGAGGCCACCTGTTAGAGTACACTCCTGGGGACTGGAAGACAATGTTGTCTGCAGCCAGCCTGCTCGAAACCTTAGTCGGCCTGATGAGTTAGAAGACCCTGAGGATAGCAAAGTAAGTTGACTTTTCCATTTTCTGAGCCTGCCCCTTTTATTTTTTATCTTCTGTAGAGGGAAATGCAGACACTTGTGTGTACGCATGATTGCTTACTTATTTTTGGAAAAACTGGCTAGCGTTTAAATTTGAAAAATCAACCATAAATATGTTTCAGATTTATACTTAAGGATTTATACTAAGTAAAAGATGAAGTTCCGAGAATGATCTCTGAATATTGCAGTTATCAGAGTAATCTTAATCATTACTTACTAAGTGACTTACTATATTCTTTTGAATATAGATGTACTAGGCTGGAGGAAGCAAAGTGTTAATGACAATATTATGCTTCAGTATGTTTATTTTCAATTTAGCATTTATATCCCACTTTAAATTTTTAAACTCATGATTATCTTTCCCTAGAAAAAATAGAGCATGTATCATATAGTAGTTTTATTTTTCTTAGAAATATTATTTTAGACATCTTTAGTGTTCATGTAGCATTTTTAATTCTCTGACAGCAACACAGTACTAATGATAATTGAATTAGTTCGTGTAGCTTGTCATGATTTTTAAAAATTTCATTTGAGAGATTTCTTAACCATTTAATAAATAGGTTCTTCTCATAACAGCTCTTTTTGGGTTTCCTGTGTATTAAGATGAATTTAAAAGAAATGTTTTATTGTGCTCTTTTCAAGTGTAGCAGTATCATGACCTGTTTCTCATCTAATCTAGTTTGCTGCATTTAATTGCTATTAACCTTTGCAGAAACTGATCAGTGTTCAGACAGGCATGATGTTAGCCCTAGTGCTCAACACCCATAATGGAGAAAAATGTATTTCTCCCTCCTGCCTTTTGGCCTCCTATGTCCATTACTGGGAATAATTAAGGAAAACTGTCAGAACTTTTGTAGCCTGTTTAAGGTCTAGAGTATCATCATACTGCTTTTTCACACATTTACTTCACATTTTGCATATTTAATATGATCATTCTTGGCACAGATGTTACATGTGACAAGCCCTTCTCTTCTGTAGTCATCTGCTTCAGTTTAATTAGCAGAATGTTCTTTCTGATCTGTGTGCTTTGCCCTCTTGCAAACCCATGAGAAGCAGTGTTAGAGTCTTGTGCTCATTTGCTGACATGCTTAGATTTGGTAATGAGATGGAAGGACTCTTAGTATGTACACCTTGAGTAATTGTGTTTTGCAATCAGAAGAGTTTTCTTATGTACATTCAGAACTTTCTTTAAATTTTCTGTCATTACAACAGTATAAATCACTTGCTGATGAAGTATTTTAGTAAGTAATTTTAGTAAAAATATGGAAAGTAAATTTGACTTGACCTGTTCCTTTTCTGTTTTCTCTGCCCTGGAAGTGATAAACAGCCACAGGACCCAGCACTTGTGAGTCAGGGTTGAGGTGGCCTGCTCTTCCAGCCTGCTCTAGTGCCTACACCTGCCATATTTCTTCCCTCTGCACCAGAAGCTGTGGTCAGCTATCAAAACTCTTTTATGATTCTCTTTTACCTAATCATTGACAATAGCAATAACGTCGTAATTATGATGATGTTGATGGCAACAAATACTTACGTAGTTCTATTTGCCAACTAATGCTAAACTCTTTAGATATATTCAATCATGTATTCTTTATAGCAATCTTATGAGGTAGGAACTATTATCTCTATTCTGTAGTGGAGGAAACTGAGACAGGAAGATTAAATAGTTGGCTCAGAGTCACATAGGTGGTGAGGGTAGAGCCAGGATTTGAGTCTCATCAGTTTAGCTGTAGAAACTGTGGTCTTGATCACCCATGAAATAGATTAAACCAGAGGTTCCCAAACTTTCTCAGTTCACAGCACCCTTATTGTCTTAGGTATTTCTTTTGGCTTAGGGGTGTTGTGAAAAAAATTATTAACAGTTATGTTTATTAAGTAATTTGGTCCAGACAACTCATAGTAAGTATTTATGTCCTAACAACTTTGGTAGCCATTTGAAAAAAATAATATGCATAAATTGAAAAGAAAAATTAAACTTTTACTTATACTTAACCATAGTTACTAATGGGATGTGTGTGCCTGTTGGCCACTCTACAACTTCTCAAACCTGAAATCCGGTTAGACCCTCATTTCTTGTTTCACATTGATTTTCACATGGTAACCCTTTGCTGCCAAGTTGATTCTGACTCATAGCAATCTGATAGGGCAGAGTAGAACTGCCCGTAGGATTTCCAAGGCTATAATCTTTATGGAAGCAGACTGCTACATCTTTCTTCTGCAGAGTGGTTGGTGGGTTCGAACTGTTGACCTTTCAGTTTGCAGCCCAGCGCAGTAACTGCCAGAAACGCAGCTTCTCAAACATACAATGTCATAGAAAGGAGTGTAGCACTATTGAATATTGAAACTGTGAGCTGTCTCTAGTAGTTCTCGTGGTATCTGACAAATGTTGACTATTTCTGTGTTTCCCTAGAAGATCAAAAATGTCCCCTGGCACCCTGTGAATTTGTCGTGGTATCTGAGGGCACCCTGGTACAGTTTCTAGAACCATAGGTCTAAACCCTTGGAGTTGAAAAATGTGATTTTATGGTCGAGTAGTATTGATATTTCCTGGGAGCCTGTTAGAAATGCAGAATCTCCAGCCCCACTCCAGACTTAACTGAGACTCAGACTGCATTTTATTACAATTCTTAGGGGATCATGTGCTCATAAAGTTCGGGATGCACTGGTCTGAAATTCCTTATCCCATCATTCAAGGCCAGATTACTTTCTCTTCCTTAACATGCATCCTACTTTCCAGTTGTTTTCATGCGTTGTTCAGTGTTTCCCTTCCACCTGTACTGGCCTTACTCCTCCTTTCCCCTCCCCTCTATGTCTGAAAGACTAAGGCTCACACTTTCTATTAATACATGGTTTGTTTCCTGCTTTCCACATGAATTTTGTTTTGTTTGCTGCTTTCCACTGTGAACCCCCAAAATTGAAGACAGTTTTTGTTGGTATACATTTTTTTTCCCCGCTGGTGAATTTTCAGCTTTTATTCTCAGAATGGTCAGTGATTCTCAAAGCATCTGGAACCTTAAAATTGTTGAGAATCGCTACTTGAAAGAATCAAGGCCTGTTTCCCATCTGTCATCGTGCATTGTTTGGGTTTTTGTCTTCCTCAAATTTTGTGATTTTTCATGTTAAAAAATTTTATTTTTAAATTTAAAATTATTTTGAATATAACTAGTGTGCCTTTTGTTTACAAAAGTAGTATATATTCATAGTTCATTTTTGACAAGAGTGCCAAGACAATTCATTGGGGGAAAAGAATGTACAAAAATGTACTCAAATTGGTTCAAAGACCTAAATATAAGAACTAAAACTATAATACTCTTAGAAGAAAACATAGGAGTAAATCTTTGCAACCTTGGATTAGGCAGTGGTTTCTTAGATATGACACCAAAAGCATAAGCAACTAAGAAAAAAAGAAAATAAATTGGACTTCATCAAAAGGATTAAATGAATTCTGTAGTGTTCTATTATTTTTATTTTTTCATACGTGCTTATTTCTAACTGGTGCTATATATCTGGTTGGCATCTCGTAATGCTGAAGTTTTCCTATCATACAGTACTGTGCCTTTCATATAGTAGAAAACCTGTTGCCGTCGAGTCGATTCCGACTCATAGCAACTCTATAGGTTAGAGTTAGAACGGCTCCATAGAGTCTCCAAAGAGCAGCTGCTGGATTCAAACTGATGACCTTTTTGGTTAGCGGCCAAACTCTTAACCACTCACCACCAGGACTCTTCATGTAGTAGAGGCTGTTTAAATATTTGTGATGAATGATTTTAAAGAATGCTTTTAATTTATATTTCCTGCATATAAAGTATTTAAAATTCAGATCATCTTAGGACAGTAACTTTTTTAGGTAACAGCAGCTTTTTATTGAGCTATAATTAATACACCATACAATTCACCCATTTCAAGTATACAAATTCAGTGGCTTTTAGTATATTTAAAATTTTGTAGCCATCATCACAATCAGTTTTAAACACTGTCTTTTTATTATTGAGTTGTAAGAGTTCTTTGTATATTCTAGACACAAGCCCATTGTCAGATACATAATTTGCAAGTATTTTCTCCTATTCTGTGGGTTGTCTTCATTTTCTTGCTAGTGTCCTTTGCAGCACAAAAGTTGATTTTGATGAAGTCCAATTTGTTATTCCTTTTTTGCTTGTGCTTTTGTTTTCATAGCTAAGAAACCACTGTGTAATCCAATCATGAAGACTTACCCTTGTATTTTCTTCTTTTAAGAGTTTTACAGTTTTAGGTCTTACATCTAGTTCTTAGAACCAATTTGAATTTTTTTGTATATGAAGAAAAGTAACATTTTAAAAAGTAATATAGATCTTGCAGAGTTACTATCTGATTTTTATAAACCTTTAAATTGTAGAGTTCAGTGTTATTCTTTCATTGACTGATATCATGACTAGAAATGAGTAACTGACAAAGCTTAACAGTAACATCTCATTAAAAGAAGAGGGATGTTGACTAATATTACCTATAGTATTTAGGGACAGAGATAAAGTATTAATTCTCTAGTTTTAAATAAAAGTTGCTCAGAGTCCTTGGTACTGTCTTTTCTCTCATGTGTTGACTTTGGCCTTAGCACACAATGGTCACAATGACAGCCAAGTATTAAAAAAAAAAAAAAAAGATGTTTAATCTATTTTGTTTGCTCACTTCCTGTTTCATATCACATACACTTTTTTTGGTACCTCTTGCCATGACAGACTTAACTAATTAGCCCATTGATAGCTGCTCTGAGGCAAGCATGATTACCCAGCAGCGTAAGGACTTTTGTCAGTGCCTGCTACATCTGTTTTATGTGCTGTTAGTTCATGACATGAGAGCAGCTGATAGAGCTGCTGAGAGGAAGAAAGCAAACAGCAATTTAGATGATGAGGCTTCTTTAAATGTTGCATGAGATTCCATGTTTGGCTGTGGAGTTAGCATGTACAGAGCTCTAGATAACTGACAGCTGGGATGCAGGCATGTGAATCCAAATCAGTATTTTTAAGGCTTGTAGTTTGGTGTGTTGCTTTCCTTTATAACATGTTAGTTTGTCCATGTGTGTGCCGAAGAACATACATATGAAACCACACAATTTATTAGTTTTCCTTTATGACATATATTATGCAGCAGTTCTGTCTGGTCAAAGAAAAGACTGTGTGTCTTGCAAATTAAGTTACTAAATGAGAGTAGTGGGGACAAATAATGTAGTCTTAAGATTTTTATGAAAGTGGTCTACCAGTCTATGGAACTATTAAAAAAAAAAATCAGTAAAGTTATCTATATATAGGTTCAGAAAGTTCTACTCATTCATCAGCTTCATTCACACATACAGGTGTGGTATACTTGCCATTCCATTGAATGCTACTTTTTATTTCAAAAAGGTAAGACTTCTGTTCATCCATAGTGAGATACTCTGTAAAATGTACTTTGAAACATTTGTGTATTTTAGGTAGAAGTAAAATTTCTTTTAAGTGTAATCTTATTTCCTTTATACTCTCAACATGTGCTTGTATGAATTAAGGAACTTAAGTTTCAATTTTCTCAAAAGCAGCAAAATTATTTTTTTGCCTAGGAAGACGAGAATGTACCCACTGCTCCTGATCCTCCAAGTCAGCATTTACACGGGCATGGAACAGGCTTTTGCTTTGATTCCAGGTAATTTTTCTCTTTCCTTTGTAGAATTTGAATTATATAGACCAGTGGTTCTCAAAGTGTGGACCCTGGGAACTTGTTAGAAATGAAAATGCTAGGGCCATATCTCAGACCTACTGGACCAGAAACTGGGGATGGGCCCTCCCACACACATTTTAACAAGCCCTTGGGGTGATTCTAGTGCGTGCCATCCATAAGAACCAGTGCTGTAACAAAAAATCTTAGTTGTTAAACTGAATAGATGCTGTTAGGAAATTATGAGTTGTATTTTCCTTATAGTTTCATAAAAAGGTTTTTCTATTAAAGGATTCCTGTAATGTGATTGTATTTTTGAAATTTCAATTAAAAAACAAAAGTTTTTTCTTTGTCAATTATGAGACCAAGTTTTAATTGTCAATTAGCATTTAAACCCCTAAAACCTGTTGCCGTTGACTCGATACCAACTCATAGTGACCCTAATAGGGCAGAGCAGAACTGCCCCATAGGGTTTCCAAGGAGTACCTGGTGGATTCAAACTGCTGACCTTTTGGTTAGCAGCTGTATCTCTTAACCACTACGCCACCAGGTTTTCCAGTTAGCATTTAGGAACAGGAAAAGAAGTTTCTATAGTAACTAAAGACTTCCAGGTCATTGAGTAGGCTGTACAGTGTGAATGTCAGTTAACTAGCTATATGTAACCTTGTCATATACTGAAGATTAACTGTTGTTATATAGCTTATTAGAAATGTATAATTCTTTCATTTTCCTATTTTTTTCAAGCTTTGATGTTCACAAGAAGTGTCCCCTCTGTGACTTAATGTTCCCTCCCAACTATGATCAGAGCAAGTTTGAAGAACATGTTGAAAGTCACTGGAAGGTGTGCCCAATGTGCAGCGAGCAGTTCCCACCTGACTATGACCAGCTATGCTTTGAAAGGCATGTTCAGACCCATTTTGATCAGAATGTTTTAAATTTTGACTAGTTACTTTTATTATGAGTTAATACAGTTTAGCAGTTTAAAAAAATCACCTCCAGTAGACCACTTAGGAGACTACAAGGTGTAGCTTCACCCTTCCATGCACCCTCTTCCACACTTCTGACCAAGAGCTACTTTGCAGTTTGGTGTTGTTACTAAGGTTAGGGTCGATCTTTGGCTTATCAGTAAATATAATTTTAACCTCTGTTAATTTTACTGCTTTAAAAAAGTTCTTGTGTGTTTGTATCTTATTTATTCCCCAGTTTGTGAAGCTGTATGAATTAATGTTACCACACTGAAAAAAGTGTTATTTAGCAGATTATTTACAACTTTCTGTTCACTTTGATGATTGAGCATGACTAATAAAGATTATGTAATAAAAAGAATTCATCCTAATAGTCTCACGAAGTAGTTTTTTGAATACAGAAAGCTCCATAAGTCAGCCCATGAAATTATAGTTTTTTTAACTCTATAGAAAGAGCTGCATGTAGAATGAGATTACATGCTTGCAGTATAGCAAATACCCTTTTTATATGTGAAATGTTAAGAATTAATAGCATATTTTGCTTTGGGGCACTAATTTTGACTGAAAGGTTTAAGAATAACCTGAATGATTATTTTTAAGCCATCCTGACGTTGTATTTATATCTAATGGGAAAATGGAACAAGATAAGTTAGTGCAATTGTTTTCGTATTGTATGAGCTAATGAGCTACTAAACAGTGGTAATTGTGGTGTAAAATCTAGTATGTGTCAGGATCTTTTTCACATTTTCCTGATGAGAATAACTTTGAAATAACGTTTCTCAGTAAGGATTAAAAATGTAATGGATAAATGTAAATCAGAGTACCGTGTTCCTTTAGTTATGTCTCTCCTGCTGTATGGAACTCTTATGAACATTAAAGAGGACATCTTTGGAGGTTTGTGGATAGTTTCATGGTGGTTGTATTTGTGATAGTTCTCATTGACCTAGCATACTGAGCATCCTTTTGGTCTGGGCCTTTAAAAAATTTCTGAACTCTTCCTTTCTCTTTTAAAATGTTAAAGTATTATCGTTCTGACTTTAGATTTTGCTGCGTTGTTAAGTTATCAAAATATTTAACCTTGCCCTAAGCAAACTAGCTACTTAAGATGTTAACCCAATATTCAGACTTGGTGGCATTTTGGGGGACTGTGTTTTAACTGTGTACATATATGTTGCTTGTATTTGTTTCTAGGAGCAGAATTTGTGTATTGTTGGAATTCTTTAAAAAGGTTTCTGAGTAGGACAACAGTATTAGGCAGGTAGGTGCCAGATGTTAGAAAACAGGTGTCTCAGGAGGTAACAGCATTGAAGATTCCATGTTTTAGCTTCCTGATATAAGCAGAATATGTTCTGGTAAAATTGTTCAATGACAGGAGCATTTTTTCTTTTGCATCAGTTAACAATTATGGGTCATGTTAGACCTAAAATATCCTTTGAATGTTACGTACAGTACTACTAATAGTGAAATGAGATCATTCAGTCATCAGCCTAGAACTTTTAAATGGTTTTGGACCAAGCTTATGATATGTAATTTGTTACTGATAGAAAAGCGGTGCAGTCTAAGTAAAACAGAATAAACTCTACATGCATTAACTGAATATGCAAAATAGGCAGTCTAAGATAGAACAAGGCACTGAATGGATATCAATTCCCGTGGTAAACTTGATACTGGTTTTCATAATGGATGCTAATGAAACTAAAGAGCCAAGTTTATTTTGGGTCAGAAGCAGTTTATTTTAAATGTGATTTCATTTACATTTATAAGCAGCAGCTTTTCTTGATGGGAATTTTGATTAAGTTGCCTTCAGTTCTAAAACAAACCTCTGTCACTTTCAAACTTAAATGTGCTCTGCCCTCAACAAAACATATGAAAATATAATTTAAAGCACAGTTCTCACAGACACAGTACAATACATTCACTATACACGGTATAACAAAATATTCCCATCCTTACCTGTTTAGTAATACTGTCACAATAAGTAAATAGAAATTGGAATTTGTTGTATACTTGAAAGAAATTTAACATGCACAATGACTTATGACTGTTTAGCTGTTGTTGAACTATTGATCCAGCCTGCAGTTTCTTGCACTAGAAGGAGCGAAGCTAAATTAATTGTTGGCCTAAAAAATTTGTTATTGGTCAACTGTAGGTAGATATGAAATAGTCAAGTAGGGCCTTCTTGTGCACCAACTAGTTGCTTCCCATGTCTGGATCATCCTTTTAAACATACAGGATAATACTACATTCAGAACCGAGACCATTCTCCAGAGATCTGAGGGAAATTTGTAGAGGGCAGTGTCTTTGTAATACTTTAAAATCCCTCATTATGAGGATTCACAACTTACGAATATAGAAACTTACCCATCTGGCTAACAGAATTGTCATCTTTTCAAAATGCCTGAAAAATTGAGGAGGGACACCTGCTTCCCAGCTGTGTGTAAGACTTTTCATCAAATGTGAATATGGGAAGAAAGCTATTTCATAAGCGATTCAAATTTGCTTTTCACCAGTTTTCTGTGTGGGCAGTTAGCTGCCTCAAAGCAGTTTTTATTGCATAATTAGGCAATTGGTAAACTCTCGTGTTTAAGGAATAGCACTTGGGAGAAAAGAACACTCAAGGCATGATGGTATTGTCAGTCAGTGAGGAAAACTCAGGAAGGGTCCAGATGTGGGTTACTCTAATGGGTCACATCAGTCACTCTTTGACCACCTGCTGCAAGAAGCACTTGTCAATAAGGCTCAATTTCATATTTCGGCAAAATGTTTTATAAAGCTAAACAGACCATTTTCAGTGGGAATGCAGACATCTACAATATGATGGGAAAAGTGCCTTAAAAAAAAAAAAAGTCTTAAAAATACACTGAGCGTGAAGAAGAGGCAATGGGGATCTTAACAAAAATGTTCTTCTCTGAAACATGCTTAGAATTTTAATTCTTATTTGCAACCCATAGATTTGTTAGGGCAGTGGTTGCAAGAATTGGCAACACATAAAATGTTAAATCTGTTGGCAATAGAGAACTACAAAGTGCTTTAAAACTTCATCTGAAGATGAAGATGTAACCAAATTTCACACACACAAAATTTGCACTTGAAGTGTTCCTAACAGATTTCAGGGAAAAAGTATTTCACTAAACTGGTACCTTGGTCTGCAAATATCAATAGGCACCCAGCAGGCACTCAATGAATGTATGTTGAATTAATGAGTGTACTGAATAGACTTATTTTGTACAAAAATGCCAGTTATAACACTAAAATGATTGGTAAGTCAGATGGCAAGATTTTCAGCTTTTTAAAGGGAAAAAGGATTTGCAAGATAATATAAAACACAAAGCACACCTTTTATGTATGTTATTTAAATATGAAAATATTTTTAGCATATTATGTTAAACATTCTTATTTATATTTCCATTACCTAAAGTCTTTCTACTCACAAATACTAACTCCATTATGTAAGGCATGGTAACCAGTTTGATAATGAAGGTATTTTGGTATTGAACATATGTGAGTTGATATGCTGAAAAACTTCAATCACATTACAATCTTGAAAAAAAAATCTCAGTGCCAGCCCCTCCTCCCCCAGATTGATATCACTGCAATACAACTAAACAATGTGCAACATGCCCTCAGTTTTATTTTTTGGGGGGAAATGTGCTGAAGAACCTAGAGCTTTTTTTGTTTAGCACCTTATATCAAAGTAATGAAAATGGGTATGATGAATACATGTGCAAATGTACAAAATCATTAACTCTACAAAGATACATCATTCCAAAATTACAGAAAAAATTTAAAGCATGCATTTAATTTTTTTTTCTTTAAAGGGTTGCTGAATGCTTCCCCTGAAAAAAGGTGGCTGTTTTCAAAATCAGCAACTGCTGGTGAGGATTTCTTGGCACAGTTATGACCAGCACGTTATTGCTGCATCTTCCTGATAATCTCAGCCGACACCGGGGGATGGAAATTGATTGTGTGGTGCCGCAGGCCCTGAGCTGTCTTGTAACTCTTTCCACAACGACATTTGAATGGTTTGCGGACACGAATCTGTGTTCTGTGACCATTCTTAGCATGGTACTTTATGCCATTCACATTCTGTGGAGAAGACAAAAAATAGCACCTATTAATTATATGGTGTCACATAATGTCTGTTAAAAGTTGGGAGAACTACCGTATGGATCCCGAATGCAATCAGACCTCTCCTAGATGGCAGCTGTTTAGAGATAGTAAGCTTTTGCGTGGACTTGAGTTGTGACCCTGCAAGGACACAGTCTGGTGGTGGTACTCACGGGCTGCAGACTGGGCATGCACACGGCTACATCAAGGAAATTTCAAGTATGCCTCAGTTACTCTGAAAATAAAAGTACTGATTTCTTCAGTTTTACATAAAATATGTATCTAGGACTCTCAGACAGTATAGAGACAAAGAGGTAGTAGTTCCTTCTGCCTGGAACTTTGCTTCCTCTCAGAATCTTTTCCACTCTGAAGAGAGTTAATAATGAACAATCCTATAAAAATATCCTCAGGATGATGAACAGCATGTCTTTCTAAAGAAGGAAAACACAGGTTAGGAAAATTTCAGAGATGTCAAGACTTGTTACAAATTCTTGATTTGGAAACTCAGTTTACATCTTGCTTCCAGACAACTGTGTAATAGTTCCCTGCCACCTTAACTAGAATTTTTGTCTGTTTTCTACTCTGCATTTCGCCAGTGTCTCTGATGTCACTGTGGGAACTTCTTGTTGCCCAAGTCCTGCCCTGTCCCCGCAGAGATGTGCATGTTAAATAAGCACTTGTGGACTAGACCAGACCCTGTCTTTATATATGTATTCTAAACATAATGAACTTTAAAAATCTTAGGTGATTTATATAATGGGAGCCTTCACAACAAGAGTTCAAACTTCAGATTGGCCTACAAATCTTAAATGATACAGAAAATAATAAACTTTTTGGATTTTTATTAATGGGTTTGCCAAGTACTGTGTGTCTAGCTCACTAGCATATTATATGCAAGACCGCATTCCTAGAACCACTCTTTACAGATTTAGTTAAGTTACCAAGTCCTAGTGCTCATCCCAATTAACATGTGGAAAAAGGCTTATGGAAGATTTAAGTAACAATGGCAGAGGTGATATTTGAGCATAGGTCTTATTTTAAGTCTGCTATTACAAGATTTGAGAGTAAGGGAGTAGAAAAGAAGCAGGTTGAGACATGAAGTTGTTGCCCAGCGGTCACTAGACTGGATTGTAGTCCCACTGGCCCTAGTCCAGTGCCCACCTACAACAGGATTCTAACAGTCTCCTTCCCACTGTTACTTCACAGAGTTCCCTTAGTGAGCTCTTAGAGAACAGGGACTGTCTTTTCTGCTGTTGTTTCATAAGAATCTAGCACAGTGCCTGGCACATAGAAGATGCTTAATTAATATTTATGAGTGAATGCATTTGTTAGAACAGCATTTCCTAACCACATTCTTCTGGAAGAAGTTGAGAGGTCGCTGTTTAAAAAAAAGTGCTCAGTGGTCGTTACTATTTACATTTTCCTTTTAGAGATTGAGTGTGCATTCATATTTTTAAAATTTTAAAATTCTCTGCAATAGAGAGTCCTGCTTTTTAACTTGGTTGAACCCAGAGTTGACAAACATCTGTCTACCAGTTGGCTATGCTTAGAGCCTGGAGGTTGTTCAGTGAGCTGAAGCAGGACAAACACCCTCTGCCTTAAACAGCTGGGTTTTGGCCTTCCTGCATCAATTCTTTCATGCAGGGCACGAGAGCACCTCACCAGTTCTGCTAGAGGCATGAAGAGGATCAGGGCATACTGGGGTGGGATATGAGGAGAATAGTAACAGTGACAGAATCGGACCCACTAAGATAGTTGGTGGATAGCCATCCTAACTGAGGCCCAGTCACAAGGCACATGGGTGAAGAAGACATCTTTGTGTATCTTGTCCAATTAAGCCTTCAGGTAACTACAGCCCCAGCTGTTACCTTAACTGCAACCACATGGAGAACCACCCAGCTGAGCCCAGTCGAGACGCACACAACCATAAAAGATAATAAATTGTTTTAAGCCACTTAAAAAAAAGATTGTAATAGTTTTATGACCATTTAGAAGAAGACTGCTACCTTTCTACATAACAGTAACACCATGACAGAAAGTCCCCTGGTTCAAAAGTGGTAAGAATTTGCATATGAAATACTCACTGAGCACTAAGTAGGGTCCCTTTTTGTAGATGAAGATTACTAAAACATTTCATCATGTCCTTCTTTTCACAGGGAACTTGTTGCAAGACGGACCATTAAAAACAAGCTACTCCTGTGCCCCATACCACTCACACCTTGTTAGAAAATAGAGGAAATCAAAGATAAAGAGCACTAACCAACAAACAAAAAGGCATAGCAACTCCAACAGGATCAGGGCTTCGATATGCTATTCAGGCCTGAGTTTTTATAACTGATTAGGCTAGAGAAGCCTAGAAACCAGAAATGCTAAAGCCACAAGAAGCCAGTCCAACATGAAACCAGACCCAGAGTTTACCAGAAGGACAAGCTGCAGTTGAGGTGATTCTAGCGGGCTCTGTGGTCTGCTCCCAGCTTGAATGTAAACACTGTGTGTCTGGCTAAGGCTGTATAGAAAACAGCCAACCCTATACATCAGCATTATTTCCAGAAAAATTAGGAAGCCATTTGCACATTTGGAAGCATGACATTTCCAAGGATGGCCAAAGAACCTGCCTTACCATCACTCTTTTCTCTTTGTTGCTGTGATTTAAAGTGTTCATAAGTGTCAGTGGGACACCGTTATCAACAAATGTTGAATCAGACTGTTGAGCAAGCTTTTTATATAGGTAATAGGAACTTCCACTTTCCAAGACTGTAGGAGTTCTAAAAAGATTCATTAAAATTTCTGATTAAATAGACCCTGAAATGAGTTGGTCTTTGAAAAACATTAATAACTACACAAATAAATAATGGCAAGTCACTTAAAAATGAAATGCTTAAATCCTTGGGTCTTTGGAAAGAGGAACGGGAATTTTTGATAGGGGAAGGATGGTCACTATCATTTAAGAACTTATCCCAATGCTAAGTACTGATGTCTCCTGCCTTATTCAATCCTCACCTTTTAGATGAGAAAACTGATGCCCAGAAAAGGTGAAGAATAGCTTGTGTGGCTGGTAGATGACAGGACTGGAATACAAGGAGAGATGTCTGATTCCATAGTCTGTATATTCCCCCAGAATTCCATACAGCCTCCTAACATGCTAGGTACTCATTGATTAGCACAACCAGCTTGTAAGCTTTTAAATATCTTACCAGTCAAGAAGGACTGGGATACGCCTGGAGAAAACTGGCTATGAATTACAACGGTAAGAGGCAGGGCAAGAGGCATGAAGGAGGACTTGGGGTGGTGGGCAGGGGAAGGCTGACATCAGTTGATCTCCATACCAGTTTTACCATCAGAACTTCCAGCCCCTATTTATGGAATTAAGACAACAATTTAGAGGCTATTGTCAAAATTCCACTCCAAATCAAATCATGAAACCTAAAGTCTGGACACCAAGCTGGGCCATCCTGTCTTTAACGATATTTGATCTTTGTTGTTGGTAGTCAGGCCTGAATATATATGACATGTGACACATCTCCTTGTTATGGAAGCTGTAGCTTTCAATTTCCTGTGGGCCTTTATGTTCCACATAAAGGAGAGGATGAAGTTGCTTGGGGATTGGAAGAGGGAGAAAAATGAAAAAAACAGGAGCCAGGGATGATGATGATGGTGATGTTAGAGCTGAAGGTGAAATCCCCAGCGGCAGCAAGGTGTCACTCCACCAGCCCCAGAAAGTTGGGTGCTGTGGCTGCACACACAATGTCCAGGGCAAGGCAGGTGACCTTTGGGGAGAAAAGGAATCACTTCTATTTTTATCCCTGATAATTAAAGTAATATGTGTTCAGTGTAGATAATTGTAGAAATTTACAGAATCTAGAAAAGCATAAATAAGCAAGTAGAACAGATAAAATCAGCTTTTAACATCTGAGGTAGTTCAGTATTTTTTCTATATCCATTATGTATCTCATTTAGCATGTTTTTTCCACTTAATGTTACTCTTGAGAATTCCTTTGCCATGAAATATTTTTTGAAAAAATTTGATGGCAGAATTTGGTGAGAAATTTAGTATCTTCCATATTTCTGCTGACTTTAACGTGTTGAACATCCTCGTACATCAGTTTCTGATGATGGGCTTAGGATACATTTCTACAAGGAGAACTATGAAGCTAAAGAATATGAACATTTTTAAAAGCTCTGATTATTTAATGCTAAGTTGCTGTCCAGAGAGGCTGTGTCAGTTACACTTCCAACAGAGCTTCTGGTGGGATCCTTAAGGAAGGGCAAGGAGACCGAGATCCATCGAGGGAGAGAAAAGTTGGAGTACCTTCTTGGGAAAAGCCCGAGCCATACATCTGCCTCCTGTTTATCCTGATAGCAGAGGCTGGTTTTGCTTTCTGTTGCTGAAACAGCCAATGTTCTCCATGCAGCAGAGGACTTTTTCAAAGAAACTTTGGGGAAAGGAGGGGCTTATTCTGTTTTACATTTTCTCCAAAGAAATGTAGCAAAAGGTTTTTAATCCTAACCGTTCTAATGTAAGAGATCACCGGAAAAACTTCAAAGCACTTCAACCTGTCTTTTAAATGTATTCCCATTTATAAGGTAGGGGGAGTCCTCTCTCTTCCCCCAAAGTTAGAAGAAAAGTGTGAGCAGCACAAAGGCAGATGAGATCAATTGTTCTGGCCTGGAATGTGTCTGGGAGGAATCCAAGGGAATGAATCATCCTGCTGCTGTGGGGTTCCAGTGGTCAGCGGGGAGCACACAGTTCCCTCCTCACCATGCAGGTTGTCTTTATCCCTTTATCCTTTGAACATTGACCAAGTCCTGAGACCTGTGCTGGGCGAAGAGGAGGGGAGTGTGAGGGTCCGCGGGGTAATAAGGGATATGGTGCATCAATGCAGAAAGTGCTCTGCCAGCAGTAAGAACAAAGCATCTGGAAAGGTCAGAAGATAAATTTGGTCTATGAGTCAGTCTGGGAAATCCATAAGAGCTTCCCAGAGAGGGTGGCATTCGAGCTGTGTCTTACAAGTGGAATTAAAATTAGAGGTGCTGATGGAGAGAGAAAGGGAAGGGAGCCATTCCTAGGCAGAGGAATCAAAATGGAAAACGTGGAGACTTAGCTGTACTTCAGGGCCCTTCTCCCTTCACCTACTTGATTAGAAGTCAGGGAAGTTAGACGCCTCATCTTTATTTCGGCCCTGTAAATGCCAATGAAATGGTGAAAAGAGCTGATCCCAAGTCAGTGCCCAGGAGACTAACTGGTCACAGACTCCTTGTCAACAGAGGGTAGGAAGTGAGAAAATTCTGAAGTTAACCCAGGAGTAAACAACAATATGGCGGCACCTCTGGTTTCTGCCTGACCCCACAGCACACCAGTTCATTTCCACCCTCCTCTCACCAACACCCAAGCCAACCAACATGCTGCAGTAAATAGGATGAAATGATTAAAAATCATCATAGAGAACACCACTGCCCTATAGCCAGTAACTTCAAACAGGAAGAGCCAAACCGACACTTTAGGGTACCCTCATCTCCAGCCCTTGGTTAGAAGTAGTTACATGTTTGTTCTTGTCTCACGTATCATTACTTGACATTTCTAGCCCAGAAAAGGAAAGTCATACATCTCTCATGGAAACCAGGACCACTAACTGCCATCCATGTCATGTGTCTGCCAGTGGTATTGAAGCAGGGAGCCTCCCGGTCCATGGGTCACTAAATTTTCTCTTGGCTTTAGATGGAGGGAGAGCACTCAAAAAACCCCAGTCAACCCAGTCATAGAAAACTGAAGGAGGAAAGTGCTAGAAATGCAAGAAAATAAAAGCAAAAGAATAAAAGAACAATTACAAAATAAAACTGACTGAGGGGAATGGACGTGAAAAAGAAAAGTGAAGCTAGAGATAGGTGAGAGAAGAGACTACCTCGCCCTCTGACCAGAATAAAGGGTGTACATTTACGCCCAGGAATAAGCAGCTTATATTTACTTTTTTTTGGGTCAGCCTTGGTGGGCGTAATTACCTCCTCTTTTAATTTAGCCGATGTGTACAACATCTTTTAAACAGTGTTGTGCACTTCAGAGAGGGCAGCAAGACGAGGCAAGGAGGAGCAGTTTGCAGAAAGACTGGAGAGAAACGGCATCAGAGAGCTGGCAGGATACGATCATAGCATTCTCTGTCTAGATTTTTCTACTTTAAATTAGAAAAAGAGGAAAAATCTCCTTCTGCAATGCAGAGATGCCCTCTGGGGAAGCAGATTTGGGTAACAATCCCCTTGGCTTTTTGCAACCTGGCTGCTTACTCTTCACTCCCATGCCCTCTGACAGGCAGGCAGTGTATAGATACCCCTGAGATGTGCTCTGCCGTCCACCCAACAGCCCTCCGGGATGCCCCGACAGGATTCGTGTATCTCCATACTGGGGTCTCAGTTTGAAAAAAGAGCATCTGGACTTTACATGATACAATTTTAACAGTATACACAGTAGGCAACGCCTTGGACCACTTAAACTTTTGTGATACATTTCTTTTCATGCTTTTAAACCAACAGCAGATGTAAAAAGTACCAGAATAGGTTTTTTCATTTCAGAGACACATTTAAAAAGGAGCCCCGTAAGATGTGCTTATGTGATCACACATTATTCAGACCTTTTTCTTTTAACAATCTGCTGAGCTGTGGGTAAATTAGCATATCATCAAATGCACCAGGTATGTTGTCGATTTTCATATTTCCGTTTTTCCACCCCACAGTTGGATTTTAAAGAGCTGCTGGGACCTCATGAGAAAGTCTGCAAATTTGTTTTGTTTTTAAGGCGCCTTCCTGGACCCACACTTGAATGCTGTGGGTGTTTCTCATTGTTTCGTCCCTTCGAGTTTTCTTACTAGAAATATGTAGTACCCACGGATACCCATGACACCCAAACTCAGACCCTGAGAGACACTGGCTCTGTCAGGTCTACAGAAAGGAGAAGAACGTCCCAAGCCCGTTTCTTTCAAGTCCCCTTTCATGCTGGGGAGGGTGGGGGTGCGGGTGAGCAAGACCTTTCTTAGATGGAAGGTAAGCACCCCAAAGGCTCTATGGGCTTTGAAGACTTCAGAGTGGTCTTCTGTGATTCTGTGGTCCATCTGTAGAGCTATTAGCTGGGAAAGGGGTTTGGCAAATCAATAGACAGCACATGTGATAACTCTTAACGGGTTCCGATGTAATGCGAATTTGAAAAATATTAAAAGACATGGTCCTCCGACAAAAGACTGCTTTTGACCTACAGCTCCCACAATGTGATAGGAGAGGGGAAAACAGACACCAAACACCCTGAAACCAGGAGCCAGTATTCATGGGGCCATGGCATGCCCCCCTCAGACGCAGGAGAGGGAAGCGCCTCACCTGGGCCCCTGCTCTGAGTAGAAGGGACTGCCCTCTGTCCACACGGTTACACCCAGCAAGATGGCTTCTCTTACCTTGTATCGCTTTTTACATCCAGGAACTGGGCAGGCAAAAGGCTTCTCCTCCCCTCCGTTCATGCACATGGAGCTGAGGATGGCTTCCGAGCTGATGGCGCTCTCGGTGGTCCAGGACTCGTCGCTGTCCGACTCCTCATAGTCCACTTCCTCCTCATCATACTCACTGCCTGCGGGAGCAGAGAATGTATCGCCCGTCAGAAGTCACGTCCCCACGTGCTTGCTCCGGCCACCCACAGGGCAGGAGGACCAGCAGTGACAGGGCAGCTACTCCTGCCCTTGGGGCAGGCATCCCAGGCACAAAGGGATTTTGCACATGCTTATTTCTAAACACCGCCCTGAGAGGGCGATTTGTGCATTCCCATGTAAGAGACCAGCTTATTCATGGCTAAGAACTGGCTGAGCAAGAACTTGAACTCAAGCCTGTGGCAGGCCAGTCTGTGGCTGCAAAGGTGCTAAAACAAAAACCACAACAGACCCTCCTTGCACGTGTGAGCCAGGCCTGGCATTCCAAATACTAGAATCCTGTGTCCTGACTTCTATGCTTGATTGGCCTAGTAATGCACGAACCTCAGGATATGGGCTGCATTTGACTCTGTTATTAGCTATTTACGTTTCAGTGGGAATGTGTTTCAGAACTTTTTCTTTACAGATTGAGCTGGGAAGACCACAACAACGACATTTGGAACTAAAAGGGGTTACCCCAAGGTGTGGCGCGAAGGGGCAGAAATCCCAGGAGCTCCAAGGATAAGCTGTTAGAGTGCAGGTCTGCCTGCCACATGCAGCCCAGACAGCTGCACCCCCTGTCAGCTCCACACACATTTCCCCACAGGGCAGACTCATCACAGCCACGGCACTCAGACGGGAGGAGGGGGGTTCCCTGTGCTCCTACAGGTTAAGAGCTCTGCTCAGGATTGAATTAAAACTCTCCTGCCTTCTCTGTTCAGGACGGCAGGGATGGAGAACCACCTCAACAACCAGCCCCTTTTTGCTCTTTTTTAATGAGGCTCAAAGCCATTTATTTGGAGCTTTTTGCACAATACAGGTCTGAAGGACATAATTCTACAGATCATAAACAGTGTAAAATAATATGTTGACAAGTCCTAATGCATTTACAAGCCCCATGGAATAAATAGGAATTATAGCACAACATTAATAAGAATTATACGGTAGCAATTAAGAGTTGTGAAATTCATCCCCCAGGTGTGATGCTAAATTGTACCCGAAGCCTGCCTGGGTGCTCTGTGGGCTCGCTCTGCCACGTCAATTATTTCAACACCAAATACTGGCACTTTTATTGGGTTTCATTTTAATAGGCATTAATAAGATTGTTTGAAGAGCCAGTTGAGCCAGGAACAGGGACGCCAGCATCTGGGGCTAGAAGTGAAAAGAATGCAGGAAGGAAGGAAGGGACCTCAAGTTTATTGAGTGCCTATTATATTTCAGGCAAGGTAGGTGTGTTATCTATTTCATCTTCCAGGAACCCCAGAGGGGGAAGGGAGTATTATCACTTTTAAACAAGTGAGGAAACTGAGCCTGGGTGAGGTTAAAGAAGGTGTATATTCCTGATTAGCTATTAATGAGACGTCATGCTTCCCCACGTTAATTCCTGGGCCCCAGTGCCAGCAGCTCTCAGAGGGGCCACTCTCCCCTCTGTGCCCCCCTCAACCTCCTTCCATGTTGTAGGTTCTTCACCATCTCCCACTTGGGTAGAATTCAAAGTAGTCTATTCTGGAGCCTGTTAGAATTCTTGGGTGTTGCAGAAAAACAATGTGGCAAAACAAGGCTCTGGAATTAAGAGTGGGTTCCAGCCAAGCCTGCGGTTGCTCCGAGAACTAAGAGACCCAGTTGGAAATGCTCTTGCAAGACAATACAGGGTGCTATGTCCACCGCGCCTCTAAGTCGGCTGTGAGCTAACTGCAGAATCTGTTTTGAAGTAGGGCATTGTTTAGGACATTCTACTCTTAAACAAATGCCACATGCTGATGTCCTTTAAATTGCTTGTTAGAAAACTATAAATGCTGTTTTGCAAAGCTTCTTTCCAGCAGGACTTCAGAAAGTTAGAATGACTGATTTTCCCATCTAATTGGGATAATTTGTTAACCTGAATACCAAGAGCCATGCAACATTTACAACTGTGGGAGCGGGGTGGACCTCAGACCTACTGAGGCCTTTATGAAGCCCAGCAGAAGAGAAAACTTCAAAACTGTTCTGGATCAAAAGGGCCCGGTGCTGAGGGGCTGACGCTGTGTCTGCTGTGGCCTGGAGACCGCGTGGCATCCAGCCCCGAGCGGGGCAGGTGGGGACAATGAAAAGGAGTGCCGGACAACAGGTGTACATCGGCACTGTCCAGGGCAAACTGGGCCACAAGCACACCCTAGTTATCAGTGGCCCACAAGGTCCTTTTGTGAGACGAATTGCCTCCCTTTGGATGGGGCTCGATATGGACCTGCTCATACTGAATTCCATTCTACCATAGTGCATAGACCTGGGTTCATGTCTTGGCTCTTAGTCACTGAGAGACAAGTTACTTGGCCTCTACTTTCTCTTCTGTGAAATGGGTGCAAATCCCTACCTAGCATGTTTAACGGAAAGATTAGAATTACTGTCTAAAAACAGTTGGCATAGGAGGACCTGTCACACAGAAAATGCTCAGAAAATGGACGATAGCATACGTAATATCAATATTCTGTATTTTTAGAAAGGCCTGCTGTGAAACCAAACAAAAAATAAATTATTCTGGACGGTTTGGGAATCCCTACTAGAAAAAATGCATGAGGGACTCCACACCAGGACAAGCCTCATCTTTGCTTTGTACTTTTCAGCCCAGCAGAGTGGAGCATTTTCCCTCTTCATTGAGGCTACAGGGAACAGGGTGGAGAGTGTGGCTCAGAGGCCAGAGGACCTGCAGGTGCCCTCGCGCCACCACTGACCAGCTTTGTGACCCCAGGCAAGTGGCATCACCTCTCGGAGCCACAGACTCCTCATCTGGAAAATGGGGCTAATAATAACACCCACCAGACTGTTGTGAAAAACAGCTTGAATTCTGGTTTTAAAAGAACTTAGAACAATGCCTGGCACAGGGTACGCACCAAAGGCGTATTTGTTAAATAAATATGTTGCAGTTAATTTCACCTACCATCCCCTTGTGTTCTTTTGCAGATAAAACCCCCAAAAACCAAACCTGTTGCTGTCAAGTCAATTCTGAGTCATAGCGACCCTATAAGACAGAATAGAACTGCCCCATAGGGTTTCCAAGGAGCGGCTGGCGGATTGAAACTGCCCACCTTTTTTGGTTAGCAGCCGAGCTCTTAATTACTGCACCACCAGGGCTCCCTTTTGCAGATACTAGGTTTTTAAAATGGTGTGTGTGAGGCCTACTGATGCTCAAGTGAACGGGCCCTTTAATCAAACAGGAGAACTGTCACCGGCTGTGAGGTGGGTTCCTCTCAGCTTCGGGTTTTGGTTTTCACTGTGGGGGTGGGAGGGCCGGCGGCAGGCAGGGAGGGCTGCAGGTGTTCCTGGGAGTCACATCTGGGAAACCTGCTGGTAGGACCCTCAGTGTCCTGCAGAAAACATCTGAGGCCCACAAAACCACCGCTATTCACCCCCTTTCAAACATCTTTGAACCCTACAAAGAGGGAACCTGAAACCAGTGTTGCACGCTTAGTTACAAAACCACCTGGGCCAACCCTCTCCTTTGCTGTATTAATTTCCTCATGGAAACGTAGGAGGCTCAAGACTCCTTGGAAGAAAGGTCTGGCAATCTACTTCTGAAAAGTCAGCCACTGAAAACTCTATGGAGCCGTTCTACTCCGACACACATGGGGTTGCCATGAATTGGAATCAAAAGCAACTGGTTTGGATTCCCACACCTCATGGCCATCTTACACCCCCCAGCTGGTGACCACTGCTCTCCAGGCTGGCTGGAGGGGGTCAAAGAACACATCACAGTTCGCTCTGAGGTGACTCTGATTGAAATGAGGCTTTGGACTACTATAGGGGAATTAAGGAATGGATACACTCATTCATTCACTCAGAAAACACTTAGCCAACACCCATCGTGAGCAGAGCCTTGATCTTAAGGTTCTGTCTAAATCCACCCGATAAGCCCACAAGGAAGGTGGGGGGCTCCATGCCAGAAGCTGAAGGGAGTAACAAGGAAATAAGATGAGGTCCTCGCTCTGTGCCCCACCATCGAAAATTCACAAACATTAATTTCTGCGTCTTTTTTCTAGGCAGAAGAATTATAAAAAGTATTTCCTCTTTATAAAAGAGGGAAAAACCCCAATCTCTACCTGTAGTTTTAAGGAGTTGGGGGCAGGTAGGTGGGGAGGAAAGGACTTTGCCCTGTATGAGTTATAGGAAGAACCACTGTTCCTGTCCACAGCCACCACTGGGCTAAGCCCCATCACTACCCAAACCCTGCTGGGTGCCTCTAGGCAGTGTACTCGCTTCCTCTCTGCAGAGCTATTTCAAATCCCGTCCACTGCCCTCAAGCCTCTGACCACACGTCCATCTACTCACCGTTTACTCCTAGCAGATGGCCCAATGCTTTCTTTTAGCACCTATAGCTTTCTCATTCTTTGTACTCATAAACATGAAATACTGGCATACAGATAGATAAAAATAAGTCAACCTTTTCCAGAAACCCAATACACCACATTTTTCTTATAAAGCAGATCATTAATATTCATGTATAAGTGATAACTGCAGTGACAGCAAATTAAAACTCTCCTGGGGTGTCAAATTCTGGCAAATACATTAGCAAAAAGTTACCTTTCTGCCTTAAAGATTTATCATTATAAATTAGCTTTAATTGCTACTGACCCACTTTATGCGAGCTGAAGCAACAAAAGTCAAAATAAACGGGCAGTGTATGATTACAATGGAAGCCACACCAACGGCCTGAACTGTGCACCATACCCCCAACTTTCCTGATGTGGCTCCTTCGCCTCAGCTCATTGCTGTGATGACGTTCTTCCTCATCTCCTAACTCTGGTCCTGGTTCTCCTAGCCAGGAGTAATCTCTTTCTCATAGGACTTAACACTTTCTAACATATTGCTGGGCCCTGTGCTTGTTTATCTCTTGAATTGGGAGATACTAGGACAGTCATGGTTTAGTGGTAGAATTCTTACCTTCCATGTGGGAGACCTGAGTTTGGTTCCC